AGATTTTTTGACGGGAACACAATAAGAATTAAGAACTTTCACGTAGGTTCGATTGACTCCGGTCGTTGCTCGTTCTCGTTGTCTAATTATCGTCTCATTTTAAAAAATGTCGATTACGAATTTACATAACACATCTGACAAATACCGCTGTACTGGTCATATTTAGCAATAAGGAATACGAATAAACATGCACCGTACTGTCTGTACTACAACTACTGCTTACTCTAAAGAGTAAAGACTCGATTATAGAATTGACTATTATATATTTATATAATCAATGCTTTTACTATTGATAAAATATATAGGACAAGGTATGTTCAAATCTCACAAGGATACAGGTAGACGTATAGCATAATATTATAMATGGTCACTATAATCTAGACTCTAGAGTATGTACAGAATACATACTTATAAGTCTGTCGTCTTAAATCTCAACTTCAACTCATTTCTGAACTTCCTTGGTACTTCAGACAATAGGCACAAGTACAATAATTGCATGACAATATATTTTGTAATGTAATAATCATAAATTATTTAATCTATTATTCTATTTAATAACTTGATTTTTCTGTTAATATAATTACATAATAATAATATTGGAAAGTTACTGATATATTGTTTTGCGTCGTTTTGTGCTGATACTACACTGATAGCAGTTTCACCTTTCACATAAATATTTTGTGCTTTTAAGTTCAATGATAATACAGAAATAATTGTGATAAGTAAAATCAACAAACAACAAACGTTGCAAATAATGATAATTGCAAATTGCTGTACGGTATGAAGGTATGATGTCGGTATACCCTATTTTATAATATTCAATACTAAATACGTTAATTACGTTTATAATACTTAATACACGTTACAATTACACATATTTTCAGTGATCTGACTGTTTTAGTTTTGATATTATAGTCGATAAAGAATAGAAGAAATTATGCTATTTCTATAATTAGTGATAATTACTATTTCATGTTACGGTTGTGTCTTGTGTGTGATTCTACGAGGTTTAACAATACAAAGTTTATAAAAAAACTACCTTTTCAACCAAACTAAATACGGAAAAGGTAATTTTACTATTCTAAAATCTCAACAGTCTTCCTAAACGCCTTGAATATCTGAAAAAATCCAATATCATTGTTTAACCTTTCATGTAATACAGTTTATACGGACATTTGTATTTATGAGGACGTTCCATTTTCCAGCCATGTCCATATCACTGTGGTCAATATTGAATAGATTCAACAGCGAGTGAGTAAAATAAAATGTTACAATGTCAAAAATCATACTACATTTAATATCGTCAACATTTTGCATTTTACCCTCAGTAAAGCTGCAACATACAGCCGCCTTTCTACCGGCACTGGACACTTTCGTATCACTGTTTGGGATCCTGCATTGATTGTCGCTCAAATAGTATCTGTCCAATGTCTTTACTACTTCACCATGTGTGTTTGGATCACTATTATCAGCTATATAGTTGGCACTTCAAGATCGTTGGACATCATATTTGAATTCAAAGTACTTAATAACAACAATAAAATAATATTTAACACACTTAAAAATCAGTGACATACACAGGATTTTTCAATAGGGGAGCCAGGGCTCAGAAGTTATAGCACTATTATAGTAATTTTTTAGCGCTTTAATATGCACTTAAAAACACCACAATAAGCGCTATAAATAGCACTTAAAATTGGAAAATATACAAATTAAAATTTTGTTAACAAAAATTTTTTTATAAACTAATTTTTAGACTTTTTTAAATTATACAAGTTTTATATAAAATATCAATATGATATAGTAAATATTTGAGAAGTGTGCACTTTTACGGCTCTGGAACATTTTCTATCTAACCTTCGAACGAATTCACAATAACTGCAGTACATTTGATAAAATTTTAAAAATAACTAAATTATTGGAAACGAACGGAATAACCTGTGCGATCGGCAATAGTAACTAAAATGTACTGTTTTTTTTTTGTTAGCATAATATTCATTATTCAATACAATTTAGTTTATTTTCTTTTTATATAAAATATGCTTTTTAATAGCACTTAAAACTCAAAATTTGCAAAATATCACTAAAAATCACAAATATGCAAAAATTAGCAAAATAAAATTTTGTTTATGACATTAGATAAGTTTGAAACAATTTTGTATCTTACTCTGAATGTCCTAAGACCAACCAATAAAAATATGCATTTGCTAGAACTTCCAAGCCTTGCTCATAACATAGTTGTAAAACAAGTCTAGGTTTGAAAAATAAAGAAGGTGCTTTCTTAGTTCTTCCAGATACAAAACATAAAATACATTTTTAAGAAAACTGTTTATATTATCATAAAAATAATGGGCAATAAAAAATAATTTTTTTTTTTTCATCCAATCTCATAATCTCAAGTGGTTGTGTGGGTTGCAACTTCAATTTTTATCAATTCTTTTTTCTTTATGTTTGCTATACCTATATAATTGTTAATCCATCGAGAAGTATATGAATATAATATGCCCCAGTGTTTATTAGTGTTATATATGTAAATGAAACTTGATAAATATATAATTATTATTATTGTTATATGGACATAATTATTCTTTGCGAAAAGCTTAGCCCATCCCCCTACATACACCGCTTCTTACCTACTATTATCTGCCTATRACACTGCTTAATATAATCTGCCTATTATTACAGGAGTTGAACAAAGTGAACAGTGAAAAGTTTGTTATCGCCGTGTTTGCTTTGAATGCACTTAGTGGGTGAGTATGAAATTGAGAATAATCCAGCAAAACAATCTACCTTAAAATTGTCACTGTTTAGGGCTACATTYATTTGGCGCATTGTTGAACGATATCGATTGTGTTTAGATTTTTCTTGTACCATACACACCTTACACTTGGCAGCTTGTGTGTGGTATAACAGATCATTGCCTACTCCATTTTGGTGGTTATTAAATGCTTCATGTGCAGCAATTACATGTATATGCGCTGAATTTTTGTGTATGCGGACAGAGTTAAACTCTATACCTGTAAATAGTGGACAAACGCCAAAAGTTGATTTGTAAATGTACACAGTTTAAATATTGATTTTTATATTAAAACTAAGTATTAATTTTTAAAGTAATAACATGTTATTTGTTGTAAAGTCAGCCATAATTTGTTTTATTTTTAATCATATAATATATATTAACAGAAAATATAAAATTATATAACATTTATAAATGTATCTTTAATATTGGCTGTGAAAATACAATATATTATATTATAAYTTCATTTAAATAATCATTTTGTATAAAAAGTAGTTTAATAATACAATTTAAGTTGTGAAAAATTAAAAATTATTATTAAAACTATTTATATAGTAACATTACATCCAATATAGTTATCATTTTTGATTGCTTGTAATAGTACAAACTTCCAATTGGAATTCATTTTCATTGTACATGGATCTCCAATTATAATGAGCAATGATTTTGCCCTGGACAATGCAACATTGGTTCGTTCATTGGCAACAAGAAAGCCGAGTCTAAATTTCTTATCTTTTTCGCGTCCTGCTGTGGATTTGCTTCGAACTATGGATATGATAATAACCATCCTCTCTTGTCCTTGGAACATTTCTACTGAGCCTACTTTTGGTAATTTAATATCTGGATGGTACATTTTCAATAACTCATTAATTTTAGAAACCTGTATCATATACAAAATAAAAAGATAAAATCATAAAAGTGTGTATGGAATATAATATTATTCTTTACTTGAGAAGAGTATGGGGTGATAATTCCAATGTCATCAGCAGATATACCAGATTTCATTAATCTTGTAAAGTACAATAAGACTTGAAAGGCTTCATGGGGATTAAACCATGAAGGACTATTGGGATCTTGGCTATCTTCACCAATGATACCATGCACAATAACTGGCCCTTTACAACCAATGTCCCAATGAGTATTTTCATTCAAGTTTTTTAATAATATTCTTTCCCGTGCATTATCATTCAATATCTATAATAATCGACATTTGAAATGTTTACACTCTATAAATATCATTTTGTTATACATAAAGTGTTATCATTACTTACAGTTGGCACTAATAATGATTTATAAAATAATTTATTGAAATTCAACATAATTTCTGGCAAAGATCGATAATTCTGTATTAAATGTGTAATAAGCTTTGGGTTATAACCATTATATTCAGGAAAACTATCAATATCTCTCAGATATGAAGGGTAATTAATAAAACGAGATAACATAGACAGTTCAAGACCACCATAATATTTTGCTAATAATGACATAACTACAGGCCCCAACTGCTTGGGATCTCCAGCCAATACAACTTGTCCATCTCGCTGTGGATCCAAAAATGCTAAAAAATCAGTTGTAACAATAAAAACATGTTTTTTTAAAAAACTTAAGTCACAAGACACCTACAAAGTGGTAATAATATATCCGGTTCTGTTGATTGTCCAGCTTCATCTATAAATATATGAGTAAAAGTTCCACTCTTTAAGCCCATCATATACATTAATCCAGCTGTACCTTCAGTGGCAAGAACTATTCGTAATTTAAGAATATCCTGTTTTTTAATTAACCTAGCATCTAAAAAAATATAAATTAATACATTATTCTTACAATTTAGACCAATTTAATTTCTGGAGTTATTAGTCTAATATAAATACAAGTGATTTCTTGTTACCTGATTCACCGGTATGATATGTACTATCAAGTTCAGGCAAAGCACAATATTCATCATAATCCATATCATAAGACAAACCGATAAAATGATTATAGCCAACTAAACGCTTCATAATAGTGTTGTTGAATAAACCAGAATTCACAAGTTTAGACAGTAATATATCAACGGCAGAATTGGTTGGAGCACAAATCAACAGTCTAAAAACAGTAAAATATCAAAAAATTAATGAAAATCATAAAAAATTTACTGACCAATATCCCAGAAGACAGGTGAGTTACAGAAATGTTTGTTCAGCAGTAGTAGGACAGCCAGAAAATTTCCAGATAACCCATAATGTATATTTTTATTTAGTATATATTATGAAATTGATATATTTTATTACTATAAATTACATCAATACTTGAACACAATTAGATATAAATACTAAAATATAGCTCTACAGGACAGAGATACTTCACCCCGATTGAGTCACTATTCAGCAGTATTTCATGTTTGTAATAAGTTGAGCAACAGAGAATTTAAAATACTAACCTGCTTTTGGGGAATTCTTTGTATACTTGAATGATGGTTTCCGTTAAAGTTATTGTTTTACCAGTTCCGGGTGGTCCATAAATAATATAAGGCATTGGTCTCCCTTCACCTTTTAGAATGTTAATGACAGCATTTCTTTGTTCTGAGTTCAATTTATTATTAAACCATCTGATCTTTTGCACAACCTTTGGTTGTAGTAACAGAGTATTGCTATCTTTTTTTAAATTTTCCTCTAAACTGTCGTTAGAGCTTATGTTATCATGGCTTAGAATCTTCAATTTTGATGGCTGGTATTCTAAAGAATCCCTATATGGAAACAAGAATGATTCACCTAATCTGTTCTTTTTCCACATTTCATTAACTACTTCGTGTAGTTTACGATACATCATTCTGGCGTTAAAAAAATTAACGCTATAATCCCAATGGCCACATATATTATGAAATTCTGGATCAAATTTTAACCATATTTCRTCCGCCAAGACTTTATGAATTATGCCTTCATAGAGTCCACATTCACCTATTTGCAATTTTTATCACCTTAAGTAATGCGTTTAAAACATGAAATTTTTAGTAAAATACAATCACTCCTACTGACTTCTAAATTCATAAGATAATGGTATAGTATAATAAAAATTGATTGATTTTAGAAGTTATTTTAAATAGTCAAGTCACTTAGTACATTAAATATAAAATTACATTATATTTAAGTATGTATTTTAATCAATAGTACTACTCTCAACTAATACTAGAAAACAAAGTTCATGATATTATGTTTATAATAGTTACAACAATGGTGTAATATATACAATTTTGAGTCAATAGTTATTAATTTGATTAAAAAAACATTTACCTAGTCTTTTAGTACAGTTTGGTGGATCTGTAACTGTAGCTCTATCACCAGTAATTAAAGAAGGCCGTTGCTCAGAAAGATCAGGTATTTTAAGAATTAGATATTCACCTGCATGCTCAAAATGTATTCTTTCTTGTGCATATTTTTGAAGACTTGCAGTTATCTAGAATTTATATAAAATTATATAATTTGAAGAATATAGTAAGTAGTAAGTATCATTACGATTACAATTTGAATAAATATAATGAAAATGGAAATGATTATATAATGCTTCATGAGCAATCCAGATTAAATGTAGAAGTAGATGTAAGAGGTTCAATATTAATCCCAAGTCTCTCATTAAATTATCAATACCTAATAATATGTTACTAATTTATATTTATTTTATGTAATAACTTATTAAATCATTTATTGTTTTTAATTTTTTTATGTTTGTATTAAGTAAATAATTTTTATATATGAATACAAATTACAATTGCAATTAATCAATTTTGGAGTATAGTAGAACAATCATAGGAGTGTCTAGACCTTTGAAGCAGAGGGTGCAACCTGGTACCCAAGGGGCTAATGGGCACTAGGCCCCTTTTTTTAATAATTTTTCTTAATAATTCATGGTGCCACTTGATATTGCACAGGGTGCAGGTGCATACCCTGCACCCCCCGTGGACACGCCTATAAGAACAATGAGTTATAAACACCTAAAAAACTTATAAAGCCTTATAATACCTTAAATACATATAAAGTATACTTACTTCTATTTCTTCCATGAATAAAAGAGTATGATATTTTGCTTTATAATTTTGGTAGACAAGAGTTTCAAAAGCAGCTGGATATAATTTTTGAATATTACTTTTAACTTCATTCAAGTTTCTAAATTACAAATAAAAATAATAAATTGCAAATACTTCTTTGTTAAACTAATTTCAAATAATGGTTGATTTAAATTTAAATTTCAAGAATTTATAAGCTGAAAAATTACATGTATTTATGTTTGAGTATGTGCATTGTTCACAAATGTATGATTAATCAAAAATTTCATTGGTTAATTAAGTTATTACCATTAGATCTATGTGAAGAGAACTATATTTCAAGTGGACACATAGCATTTTAGTATCTTTTTTAGAAAAATAACTAGTCTGAAGAAAAATTATAATTATTTAGAAATATATACAATTTTGCAATCAAATATATTAGAAACATTACAATGTATCATTTGCTAGTTTTTCAAAATATGAGATAATTTCATATTATTACATTAAAAAAAAAATAATAAGTATTTTGACCTAGAGGCTAACTTTGAGACTACCAAACTTAAACTTGCTAGGTTAGGCTAACTCATTTCAACAATGAACATTTTTTAAATCAAATTAAGTAATTTTTTAATGGTCAATTGACACACGGTACGCAGCAGCAATTAGTACAAAGTACAGGTACCGTTGCGACCTATTTACATCTTAATTAACCACCTTCATTGATGATAACGAATATCCTTCCATGCCGAAAAAGCTAGGCGGGACGGGAAGACAAGACGTGTTGGATGACTGGATGAGTACCGTCTAGTATATTTATATATATATACACACATTTTTTTATCATTGAACTGTACTGCAATTGTGAAATATATATGTAAATAAAATTTATATTACTGATTAAATTTCCCATCTTCAGACCAATAACATTTTGTCAATTGATGTGGAATACTCCAATTTGATAAACGGACTGATGGAAACTGTGGTCCAGCATAATTACGAACACCGCGAACTATAGGATCATTTTGCAGTTCAAATAATCTCCTATGTAGTTAAATTATTATAGTGAATTACAAACTTGTGGTAAATAGATTTTTTTGGTAATATTAATACATACTGCATATCAATTTCTCGCTTAGAATAAAAACCTGGATTACTTGGAAGAATCATTCTTGAATCAGTGACATCAATGTTTATGCCTACTTTGTAAGTAATATTTTCAAAAATAAATTCAACTTTTTCAGTAGATTTTCCTAAATGCCTTGAAAAAGAAATTAACAGTTAATGCTTAACATGAGAACATATTTAGAAAGTTTTTTACGATTTTTGTTTGATGGTTATTAGTTATTATTTATCATAATAGTAACAAACACACAGATAATAACATACTTTCCTTTAAGATTAATGTCAAAAATATATTCTGACTGCACTCCAATTACTATAGGCAATTTATTTTTATTAACAATTGACAATTGTACATTATTTCCTTGCATAGTTTGATAATCGTTTAATTTTTTCTCCTCAACATAGCTGTTATTTCTAAATAATATCTAAAGCGTGAAGTGTAATATAAATGTTAACGATTTATCTTGGATAAAATAAACATTTTTTTTAACTTAAGGCCTGTTTCACATAGGCGCCCTATGTGAAATGGGCCTAAGAGGACACTACACAATCACTTGTTATCTCCATCCTACAAGTTCATAACATAATAAAAATTATGAAATTTACGCTTAGCAGATCTCGTTTAGCTCTGTTAGTTTAAAAATTAGAATGAATCAGCCTATTTCAAAACTTGATGTTAAAAAAATTATCTGAGTTTGTAGGTGGGTTTTTTTATGACAGTTCAATTTTGTAGCAAGTTAGGTGTATATAAAAAGGGTAAATTAAAACTGTTCATAATTCACTTAAAAATTAAGTTATCAAAAAAAACCCACATACAAACACATATAACGTTCTGAACATCAAGTTTCATAATAGGTCAATTTWCTCTAATTTTTTAATTAACAGAATTAAACATAAGTTGCTTAACGTAAATTTTCTATGTAACACATTTGAAAGACGAAGACAGCAAATTAGTGTGTAGCGTCCTCTTAAATATAAGAAAAATAATAAGATTTTTATTTAATAATAACCGGTTCATTAAATAGAAGTTAAATCTTAATACCTGTATATTTGTTTCCTCTTCAAAACCAATTACTCTAGGCATATCACCCAACACTTCAATAGTCATTTCATTTTCATCATCATCATTTTCAACAATATCTCCATCTTGGGGTGTTGGTTCAATGTCATCAAGGAGAACACGGACAGATTCATTAGATCTAATTCTAAAGAAATTAAATTTATGCATTATTAACAAAATACATTATATGTAATTGATTATTTATTTATCTATTAAAACGTGCTGTTACAGAACATACACATCAGGCTGATGACGAGGGCCGTTTTTGGATAGAAAACAACTTGCAACCTTCCATTCTGCATTGTCAGAGTTCTTTTCCCTGTAGACAGATATTCTGACGGGACTGTTTAATTCTATGAATGGGAAGTTCCGAATTTCTTTCTCAGTTTTTGGCTGATAGTGGTATTTGTTGTTAATAATACATTTGTCAGTGTCTAATATCTTTGTCACTATACCATTCACATATCTAAYATCCAATGACGGGTTCAAAATGCAAGATATCTAAACATTAAGCATTAACGTATTGGCATGAGTGTGATTTAATACCAATAATAACTATTTAATAGAGCGAAGGATCTTACCCAAAAATCATTATCTGCCGTCACATCTTTTTCAAAAAAAATATTTTTGGGTACATCGGGCACATCGGGTTTCCCGACTATCCAACTCCAGACGTTATTCAACATAGACGTCATGATCACTATTTAAAACGCTGTTTTGAGCAACCAGAAGGTATGTATTTCTTTATATGAGCAACACGGTAAAATAAAAAAATGTAAAACGATATTCGCTGACTAGGAGAGTTGTAAGACGAAGCACAGACGCACAGTACACAGTGTACAACTAACTACACACTACACAATAACCATATTTGTTTCTAATCGGGCATACAACATTAGTTGACACAACTATAATCTATTGTTTGCGCGACGAGCCACAGGAAATCGGAAAAATTTATTGTGCACCTATATAAATATATAATAATATAGGTACCTAATAATATTATCAAGATCAACAGCACTGGAATAAAATGCAGCAATTATTAGATCGTTCACATCGCTGACTGCCGACATAAATAACCCCACATTCCAATATCCAATTGAAGTCGATGATCCTAAGGTGTTATAGAAATAGAACACCAAAACAAACTATGAAAATTACATATTATATACTAAAATAACAAATAATTATTAATTAACGATTATATAACAAGCAACAAGCCATGTGCGTCGCGCTGTCACCAAAATAAATCGCCATGTGCGATGTACTATCACAGAAATACAGAACATATGCTAAGATAGCGACCCAAATCTGAATGGTCTCATCACAAAAATTACATTTTTCTTACGGAAAACTGATAAGAAAGTCCACAATACATATTAAATGCATACGTTAGTGTTGCTCTAAACAAAATCTTAAATTTACCTTTTACAATATAGTTCAGCTAAACATTTCATTTATTTAGGTCGGTTCCTAATGTCCCTATATAGTATATATAGTGGTTCTTACAATGTCCAGTTAGTTAACGCCGTTAAMGGACACTTTACCAGACATTGTGAGAACCATAATTTATATTTGTATTAAAGAATACTGTTTTTGTATAGTAAACCAAATGTAACAATTTATTTTAATAAATTAAAAAAATATATACTTTTCATATTTTTTTTTTTTATAAAGTTAAAGAATATAAATGACACTTTTACGATACAAATAAAACACACAATTGAYCATTGAGTAATTCTTTATTTTATAAACGAGCAATACAAAGAGTAACTAACAAATTTTTATTTCAAAATTGGATATAGGTTATAAAGAAAATAATATATTTTAAAAATACAATTGTTTGTCTTCTTTACATATAAAATATATTATCATGCATTTATTGTTAAAAAAAAAAATTCACTATAAATATAGAATGATACAGTTATTATTATAGTGTCCACTGTCCACACTCATTACTCATTATTATTGAAAGTTCTTTAAAAGTTCCTAAATTCCTTTTTACAATTTTATATCATTCTAAGTATTTTACTCTTTTACAAGTCGACAAACCTTTTTAATACCCATCGGCCATCATATTCTGAAACATAAAATGTAGTATTTCGTCATTTCGATATAAAACATATTGAATTTTGTTACTATTTTATCGTCATTAGTTATAAACCATTAACTTTTTTGAATGATACCATATGTTTTTAAATCTATATTCTCCGAGTATATATATATATATATATTTAAATCCATATTCCATAAGTATTTCATTTTTGCGGAATAGAGTGTGGTACAGGGGTACTCCTGCATAATCTGTACAAACCTGACAAGTATGTTTTACAACTTCAAGAAGTCCCATCGCCGAATGGACTCTTCGCTCAAGTCATCAGTCCCTCTTATTTTATCTTTATTTTATTCTTATAATATTTCTATCCTTACAGCACTTATACTTATTGTAAAATATTATATAAATATAAAAATTTCATGCTTAACTTTGTCGACACCAAAATATTGTGGGCCAGCTTAAGCGATCGACCAGTTGCTAAATAAATTAAAGATAGATTGAAAATGAGTGAAAAATCTACAACACAATATCATCAGACACGAGTTACGTAAGACATCCACACAAGCGAGAAATCAAATATTATCAAATTTAAAAAGATTTGTCTGTCATTCCACGGAGTCGACGCCACCGATACTGACCGCTGAAAGTTGATGGAAATTAATGGAAGGAAACAAAGAAAACCTTACTGGTTTAGCATCAGTTAAACCAGCGAGGACGGATAAAAATTGTCTGAAGAAGATGAAAGGGTCAAAATAGAGCAAAACATTTAAAAATCATACAATGGGTGCATAGGCGCAACTATAGAGGCCAAACACTGGGGRTGCTAAAATTATGTAGATGAAACAGACCCGTGGGGGCTACGCCCCCACACTCCAAGTTCCTACTTCAATTTTATAATTACTATAACCAATCTTAAATGCATTATAAAAACATAAGCACACAAATATTTACCTCATAAATACATTAGGTATATTACCTATATTATTATTTAGGTGATTCAAATAATGACCTAGTATAAACAGATAAATAATATTATTTTATTTAATAACTGATATCAAAATAATTATACAATTTACATTTTTAGCAGTCACTTACATGAGGCACAATCATCTCAAAGATTAGGTAATAAATAATAATACTATGTTTACATAATATAGTATATTATACATAATATACTATACTATACATAATATATAATATACTATATTACACTAATACTATTTTTCTTTTATTAGTGGAATTGGAATATATTTCCAATATTTCTGAAGAAGTAATTTTATTAACAACATCTCTTTCAATATTTAAACAACCTTACGTAAAACAAAAGAAACTTTTTCATATAATTTTTCCGTTTTTGATCTGGGGGTGCTTCAGCTAATATAAACACCTAATATAACTTGTGATTTATTTAAGATACTTATTTTTTTTTTTGCTATAAATTGCTACGTCATTTAATTTTTTTTAACATAAATTCGTTTTTGTGTTGTATAGTGGATACATGATTTTTTTTATTTCCAACTGATTTTTTATAAAAAATTTTATAGAAATAAAATAAATAATATGCATTTAAGCATTATAAGAACAACAATTGTCAGTATTATTTTAATCTTTTATCATTTTGAGTTATTTTAATTAGATGGATATTCTGTATAGGTATGATATTATTTAATATATAAACCAAGTACATAAAACCTTTGATGAGTAAACGATACGAAAACGGTATTGTGATAAACATAATATTATATTATAAACAGTTCCCACCTGTTTTTGGTTTTTGAACTTGAAAAAAAGTTACATAAAAATTATTAATCACAAAATATATTTAATAGTGAACATAAACCATAATAATACACATAATTCTCATTTATTAACATTATTTTATTTAATTTTTCCTAATTATAATGAAATTTATTGTTCTATTATTTTCTATATTTCATTAGTACATAAACAAAAACAATAAATATTTTATTTTATAGTTTTGAATTTGCCGCCATTTAAATATTGACCAATCATAACCACTCTAATAAGTGTAGAAATCATGCCGCCCATCCATTCGTAGTTCATACATTGATTATCTTGCATAACACAAGGTTATTACCAACTTTATGCTTAACCCAATCCACAGATATAATTTGATAAAAATTAATTTGGAAAAAATTTAGTTTTTATAAAAATTTGTTCTAGATTTATGTTGTAATTTGTATCCCGAACGGGCTTGAAATACCAAAATGAAATACGATACAATTCTAAAGCCTGAAAAATATGGAGCGGGAAGTAAGTATTGAAACTAAAAAAAAAAAACTGCCCAACATTAACTTAATTTTTTCTTGCAGTCAAGGGCATTTTCCGACAAGCTCTGCATGAAATGCCATTGATTACAATATGTTCTCCATTCTGCATTGTAGGCGTAGGGCTAATTATGTACCATACTTATAGATACCAAGAAAATGATGGAAACAATAAAAAATATAAATTGAAATATACCCGTAAGTATTATAAATACTTATCTGTATGCATGGTATAATTGTTTTTAATAAATTCAATATAAGATTATATAAATAATATTAACTATTATCCTTCTCAATAGTTCTCAATGCCTATTTACCTTGACTACATCTTTGTCCAGTATGTTCTAACCCCTAAGTAATATAACAATTATTTTTTTCCTCTAAGAGTTCTAAAGCCTTAAGCCCTTAACACTTCCTCTTTTGGTTACACCATTGATATGATATCCATACCCAGTTTCTAATTTAAATTCCACAAAACTAATTTATTATTAAGTAAGCTTCATATACTTTTTATTTGAATACAAACTTATTTATGATTTGTAATACAATTACGAATGTTTCCTAATTATACATCAGTGTTCTGTTACTGAACAATTTAGTGAAATATGAAAATATTAATAACATCAAAAATTAAAAAAAAAACCATTTCATTCTACCTTTATTAAGTGTATACTACTAGTTATTAATTTTTTTTTTTCAGTTTACCGACCAGATGACCCTAGAGTTCCACACATCAAGAATTGAAAATTTATAATTGAATTCTTAAGATTGTATGTTGTTGAATTAATAGTTGTTAGAAATAATAACAAATAAAATAAAAAACAAATCCTTCTAATATTTATGAAAAAAAAAACTATGTATAATTATAAATACAAGACATATTAATTATTAACTACTTTGTTGATTTTTGAAAAAACTCGGACTGTATGATGCAACTTTTGTTATATCTGATTGAGCAACATTATCTCGTCCACCTCTTATTTTTAATTGCAATTTAATATTAGAATCTTTATTGTCTCGTTCTAATATCAACTAAAAAACAAAATTTACAATGTTATTGATTAAATTAATGCCAGACATAGGTAGTAAAGAATTTAAACTAACTTTCATAAGAGGCGGTAGCTCAATAGATCCAGGCACAATCTTCTCTCGTGGTTTGCAATTGGCCAATCGATCCCACCACAACTGTTCTTCGTCTTTGGGTATTAGTCGATAATCAGGTTTGTATGATACACTGTATATTTCAACAGGTTCTTTGTAAACTTTACCTCTAAATATTTTCTCTGCGTGAACAATTATTTTCCTTGCTTTATCTTCCTATAAAAAAGTGCTTGTCAAGTAATTTTCAACTAAAAGTTGTTATGATCACTTACTATTTGTGCAGTGGGTTCGACTGACAAGATTTTGAAAAAGCAAGGTTCTTCGTATCGATCATAGGAGTTCCTAGTTACTAGACGACCAACTCCAGTGGTTCTCAGATTGCCTAAAATTTCCCAGAGTGTCTTACCATACAAATTTGTAGCTCTACCAATTAATTTGACAGACATCTTGGCACAATTCTTTTTTTAAAAATGAGGTGTATACGAATGTTGTATACCCGTGTTCTTAAGAAGTTTTGATATAGTATTAGTTGATGTCTTAGCTGTAAAATAGCAAGAATTACTCAGTCCACAGATAAGTCTTTAGATCATGCTTTATGGTACTCTACGCACTACACTCAAGAGTTTTAAAAGAATCACAGAATTAGTTCAGAGATCAGCAGAATATAAAGTTAAGTACCACAAAACAGAATAATATTAGTAATATTACTGATAATACATGTAAGCCGAACGATATTGATAACTAGCGGGAGTTTAACATATTCTCCTGTAGCCGCACTGTTGGGCCGTCTGTTATCATTCCTACCCGTATTAGTAATAAGTAGTTACTGTCTAGCCACAGCGTTTTACTTAATTACGTGTTTTTATTTCCTTCCTCAAGTTGATTTCGTCGCTAAGTACCTAAAGCTTGCTGCCTACTGCCTAGTAAGTAGCAGTAGCTACCCATCTCTATTGATATTGTCTCATTTGAGTGATATTTCATATTGATACATCTTTTTTTTCGCCCTGAAGTGGGCTAGTAATGCAATTGTGCAACAGGTGTATTTGAACCTTCAAGCTGTTTTAAACGGCCCATGAGTTCATCATCGCGGAGATGGTGATATAATGACACCGTCATTTAGCAGTTGACACTTAGATGGAACTAGATCGTCCAATGATGACAAAGTTGGAAATAAAAAGCAAAGTATGTGGTATAAATAACAATCAGTTTATTTACAATAACTACACAGTTTCATGTTTTCAACAGTTTGACGCCGAGTTCCGTCGTATCTCGTTACCCAARACAGACGTTGGCACTTATGAACAATTCAGAATTCTTATTGAACGTTTACATAAGTTAATTGAAGTGCCATTTGTATTGTCATATACKGATCCAAAGGATGGAGATCTATTACCAATCAACAATGATGATAATCTCGGACGAGCAGTTTTAACTGCCAAACCATTGTTAAGGATAATTGTACAGCGTAAAGGTAAGATTTCATGGATTAAGTTAAAAATGTTATCATTTGCTTATTTCAGCTTAATATTTTTTAGTATGAAACTAATGTTTAGTAGGTTAGGCTATAGATTTAAGGCCTCCAATAAAATTGTATCCAGGAGCTTATTAAAACTTAATTTACGCTACTGTAATCTTATGTACCTATTATCATTTCCAACGGCATAATATACATACTAAAAAATATTAAGTCTTAGTATGTATCATGGAAAATAATTATGTGAGATTACAATGGCTTAGCTAAGTTTTATAAAGCCCTTAGATACAGTTTTATTGGAGGGCCTATATCTATTYTAACTTTTTAAACATTTTTGAATATGGATTTGTGTTCTTTGTCCTTATTACACTCATTAATTGTAATATTATTTAACATTTTCATAAACTGGCTCATTCCACAACAACAATTATCAATATTAATATCATTATTTTTAAATTCTTAAATTGTCTATTTTTCCATTACTTCTCCCGTATTTTTTCCGCTGTATAAAATCCAGTAAAATATTTTATTTTAATATTTATAGGAATTCCAAGTTGGTTAACCTTGCCTTACATCTTGTATTGAATCTATAGTTATGGAAAAAATAGTGCGGAAGTAATAATTGTAATAAAATCTTATTTTTCATATTTTCTCATTCTACCAATACAATTATATGATTTTTAACTGAGTAGCTAACACCTCTTATGCTTTATTTGGGTTTCTCTAGTAATGTTGGAAACATTGAATCATAATTGGCTTAAAAGCTTGATTATAGATATTTCCGGGTTTAAGTTTACGTCTTCTGTATGGTGCTTGATGAAAAAATGTTGCTCACATTGTGTGATAGACTAAAGACACATTTATTATGCTTTATAATTGACATCCAATATTCAACTTCAGAATTGTTATGCTTATTTATTTGACTATAATATATTATACTACTAATATTATACTACTATTTTTAAAACTCATATTATGCGCTTTAAATGGCACAATATAAAATTCAGACTTAATACTGCATTTTATAAAAAATGAATGAAGTTTTTTGTAATGTTAAACATTATTAAATCCAATTGCGATATCATTAATTAGTATTAATTAATTTGTTATAATAAAAATAAATGTGCACTACCTGTGCCTACTGTAATCCTGTATAATTATGAAAATTGAAGTGCTGAGTTAATATTCACTCTAGTTGAAAATTTTTGAGTAATTGTTAGAGTTAAGGAAATTGTATTAAAATGTTTATTAATTTTTTCAATAGTCTTAAAAAACATTATCGCTAAGTTTATAGGTAGTAGTTTTCAATAGATTTGGTATATGTAATTAATTTACTTGAAAAATTTCACTAATCTTTTTCTAAGTTTAAATTTATTGATAAATATTAATTGGTAATTATTTTTATTACTTAATTTTAATATAAGAACCTTATATCATTTAAAAATTAACATTATAATACACGCTTAAAAAAAAAAATTTGACCGTCTTTTATAATCTATAGATCTACATACTCAGGGGTATTCTATTTCAATAACCACAACACTTCATCTAAAGGTACCCCTATAATATACGCTCTTTAATCTCCATTGTCTTAGGATAAACAATCATTTTTAAACAAGTGACTCCATTGTTCTGAGAATCATTGAAACTAGTTGGCAGTTGTTGGGGGGAGTTTCTGTGAGTTTCCAGTAAAAAAATCTAAACATAATATTTTTAATTTAGTCTAAAATACAATATATTAAGTAGGTAGAATGTATTATGGTTTTTATTTTTTATTAATCTTATATGGTTACCCATATAGATTGTGAATTTGTTACATAAATTTATTGGTAACAACCTTCAGTCCTGTTGGAACTATTTTCATCTTTAAATTTAAACCAAATTTTATTAACAACATTTTATTGATTTTTGAAGTTTTCAATTATATTATATAATATTTTTTAATAAATATATACTATTTAATAATATGGTTCTTTAGATCTAAATTATCTGTGTCTTCTATAAAAATTATGTCTACTTCATTGTTTTTGGAATTTCTCTCAAAATATTTAACATGCTAATCAAAAGTTTATAAATTATAATACTTAAAATGATAATATTTCTAGTAATAGTCGAGATTATAGTGGAAATTTTCCAATTTCTAATGTAAGTATTTTTTATAATTAGATCCAACTCCCTATTTAAGCATTTTATTTTTAAATTTTTATAAAATTTCAAAGTAACTTAATTCTTAACTTTATTTTTAATTCCAGTGAGAAAAACTTAATAGAAATTATAGAAATTACGTTTTCAGGGGGCTATTTTCTAGTTAATTTATTTGTACACCAGACTTCCTTATACTTCCTTTGAATTCCAGGTTTAAACTAATGTCTGAATTCTCTATATTTGTTTTAACTTTCCTATGTTTTTCCTCAGTTTATGCATACTTTCATGTACTTTTATTTTTAATTTTTTTCCCTGTTTTCTCTTATATTTTGTAATACTATTTGCTTATGCCAATATTCTCAATTCAATAGTCACGACCATCAATTATATAATATTTATTTTGCTTAACGAGTTGACATAAATAATGTTAAAATAATCAAAGTATTTACTATACTAATAATTTGATAATACAATTTTTATTTGTAATCTAAAGTATAACATAAATTAAAATATAGGAATTGAAATTATTTACTTAACTTTCAAATATTATAATATATTTAAGTTAAGATAAATGATTTTTGCAAATTATATATTAGTATATATAATAATAAACATTGCATTCTTAATTTAATTGTTGACTAATGAGATTTAAATTATTAAAAACTGAAATAAAATTTTGTGAATTAAGATATGTAATATTTTATTCATGAAAATAGATCTAAATAGTTTTTACTTTATTGTTTTTGCAAGTAAAATACCCAGTTATCAACAGATAAACATTTAATTTAATGTATATTTTTATATAGGTATACTTAATATCATCTTAGTGTTAGACTCTAATTTATGTTCAATTAAGCTGTTTTTAAATTTGTATTTTTGGTTGTATTGTATTTGATACTAAAAACATTTTTAAAGTTGCAATTTTAACAAGCCTCAATCAAATATTTAGATTTAATTTTATATTAAATTCAAAATTTGAACAATTTCAGAACTAGGAATTTCCCTCTTTTATCCATCTAGTTAACTTAAGACTCAATTTTTTACCACCAACGATTCTCAACATTGAATCATTTTTTATATTCTAAAAAGTAATGATAGGAAAAAAATACTTCTCTGGAGAGCTCAGAATCTAATATAACTTTTTTGTAGAATTAAAATCTACCTTCTTCCCTCAAAATTATAATAAAACTAGTTATCAATATTATGAATTAACCTATGTAATTATTTTGTTAGAACATACAAATAATGCAATTTTAGGTGTGTTAAGTATTTAATTTGAAGATATGAGAATTAATAAAATATTTTATCATTATTTAAATGAAACTTAATTTCATTGAAGATTACTTTCAAAATTTTTAATTGTGTTATGTTATTTTATTTGGAACCGGTATATTGTAATATTTCTTTTATGGTTTAAAGCTCTTCAAGAAAAGTTAAGTGAAAATAATGTGTCTTTTATATTATTATCAGTCTATTTTATCTGAGGTGAATATTGAATAGTATAATTATGAACCTTTCATATATTACATTATATACAAGTTTGTTCCTAGTAAGCGTTTTCTTCAGAGTTCAAACAAATGTGTGGGTTTGGCATCTGAATAAAAAAAGGGTGTTTTTTTATTTTTTATGATTAATACAAACAATTATTTTGATTGTATTCATAATCTCTGTATATGTATTGTTTATTCATTTATTGTATAATATTATAATTATGTAAACATTATAATAAATACTAAAACAAAAATTTGTATTTTGTTTATTATTATTTTGAGTTAAAACTTAAATTTAGTTATCACTTATCAGTAGGGCTTGCATCTTTTCCTGGAATGATCAATACTATGCTTTCCAAAATATAAATATGTTTCATAGACCATAGTACACAATAAACTAACTATTTTCTATTTATCTATTTTGGAGTATTTTTTGACGTTTTTTTTTTAAATTTAAATTTTGTAGATAAATGTATTTTTTGAAAGGGCGTTTTTCGATATTTTAGCACTGGTTATCAGCTATGTACAATATACTTTTTGATTATTTCCATATAGTTTATTTAATAACTAGATAATCTATATTACTATATTAGTTATTAGTATAATTATATTTCTTTTAAAAAACGTTATTCGACATTCGTAGTCATTGGTAATATATGCCTACAAAACACGAGTAGSTTATTTTATTTCTCTCTTTCATGACTCTTCAAGGAGCTAACGACAGTACTTGTGTATGGCAGTGGCCAGTAATGTGTAATTATTTAGTTGTTGGTAAAGAATTTTAATTGATGCGGAACTACGGATCGTAGGTAGGAAGAAGGGAAACTAACATTTGACAGTTCAAATCCAAGGGAATTTCTCACGTAAACGAGTTTTGTTTTCTAAATAYTATAGTCATTATTCGATGGTTTTTTCTCTTATACGCGCGTCGTCAGAAAATATTGACCGTTGAAAAATGCAACGGAACTTGCCATTACGATAAATTTTATATTCGGCGACGGAAAATGTCTGGGTGTTTGGTCTTAATGAACTGTGATGATCACTGATTATTGATTAGTGAGTCATGTCTCAAAATATACCGATTGGCGATTGCCGAGTACCTTCACTATGAACAGCCTATATTAGTTATTGCGTTATTGCTTATTAGTTATTACTACCTATTTTATTTGATACCTATTATATTGCTTTACAAATTACACCTTATTTCTCACCATTTAAACAAGGACGCGAGGATAGGATGTTTTTTTAATTTCAAGTAAAAAATCACTGGTTTTCTATTATTTTTATTATATTGTCGATTGTTTTTATACAACACTTCGAAATACAGTCGAAAGTCTCTTGCAGTCCGGATATATAAGACTC